AATCAGAGCACATTTTCAAGTGTTGGAGGTTTGAAACTACTGTTTCTTAGAAAATTCAAATGCTTTTGAATGGAGTGAAATGTTGATTCTGCAATTAATTATATTGAAGTTTATGTTACATTCTTGTTATAGCCCCTAAATAATGTATGTAGTCATTCTGAGTCATGAAGTTATCTAAATGTTTTCCTTCAGTCTTTCCACTGCAGACATGGGAAGGCTTATCTCTTCAGTAAGGTGTAAGTCTCTTTGAATTCTGCACACTCAATCACCAGAAATGTTTCTGAACATTTGCACACGCCCAATCTTTATACTTGCAGCATGAAAATCACTAGTGCAACTTACAACTTCTGTTGGTTTTATTCTTGTTAGAGTATGAATTACCATTTATTTCCTCTGATTGTTGTTGAGCTTTACTTGGCATTGATGGGACATGAGTTATTTGTAGCTTGGTTAGATGAATGATGATATTACTAAGGTCAAGCTTATCCATACCTCTGGTACAGAAAGATGAAAAAAGCTACCATATAAATCCTCTTATTTGACCTCCACCCCTTCTTTTACTGGTGTGGACGACACTGTTAAACTAGAAAGTGAAAAAAGATGATTTGAAATGAAAAAAGATTTGGTTTTCAAAAGTTGAGTGCAACTGGAGTATGTGCAAATTATTTGGCTTTTACTCTACGTGGGTCACATAGCTCTCAGGATCTTCGATTTTGTTATTAGCTCCGAGTCATTATTATTATGGAAGGTCACAACCAACCTAGAATATTTGAGTGCACATGAAAAGTTGTGTACAAGGCAGGCTATACCCTGTAGGTTTAGTTTGTTAAAGACATGGTACTTTATATTTATATCTTTATATATTTGTGTCATTGACATTGCTCTCAGGATCTTTGATTTTGTTATCAGCTCTGAGTCATTATTATTATGGAAGGTCATAACTCATAACCAACCTAGAATATTTGAGTGCACATGAAAAGTTGAACAAGGTAGGCTATACCTTGTAGGTTTAGTTTGTTAAAGACATGGTACTTTATATGTATATCTTCATACATTTGTGTCATTGACATTGCTCTCAGGATCTTTGATTTTGTTATCAGCTCTGAGTCATTATTATTATGGAAGGTCATAACTCATAACCAACCTAGAATATTTGAGTGCACATGAAAAGTTGAACAAGGTAGGCTATACCTTGTAGGTTTAGTTTGTTAAAGACATGGTACTTTATATGTATATCTTCATACATTTGTGTCATTGACATTGCTCTCAGGATCTTTGATTTTGTTATCAGCTCTGAGTCATTATTATTATGGAAGGTCATAACTCATAACCAACCTAGAATATTTGAGTGCACATGAAAAGTTGAACAAGGTAGGCTATACCTTGTAGGTTTAGTTTGTTAAAGACATGGTACTTTATATGTATATCTTCATACATTTGTGTCATTGACTATAAAATTAGCACCAGAATTTGATCTATTGGAATCACTATAGAACCTAGTGGGGATTTTACCAGACTATTATATCGTGTACTTTTGAGTGTATTTTCCAGGAGTACAAATATTAACACATCAATATATAGAATAAATTCTTACTTGACTTGTCTTACTTGACTTGGGTTATTTTCCACTTGGTAGCAGCATTACAATAGTTACATGGCTGAAATACATATATTATGCTCAACTTGATTGCTTTCCTGTTCAAGAGTTCTGCTCTTCTCAAATCTCTTCATTTCATTTTATCATTTAGTAGAAACATACAAAATGATAATGCACTTTGTAGTTCTGTATATTCTATACTCCTTTTTTATTCTTTTGACAGGGTGAATGTCACTTCTGGCGAGATAGAAGATAGAGTGATGATGACTGGTATGCACACTGTGGCAGACATTGTCTGCGTCTGTTGTGGGTCAATTGTTGGATGGAAATATGTGAGTATGGAGTGATAAAATGCTAGACATTGTC